TCATATAATACCTGCAGAGTCCAAACTCTGAACTAAAACTGGAGAGTAACAAACAGCCAAATGCATATTCACTTTCACATTCTGCTTTTAAATTTACATTTCAGCTCAAGTAATCTGGATCCTATGGCCAGCACTCATGCACATGAACCAAATCCATCAGAAGTGCCGTCTCAGGGTAGCCCAGACAGACATTTTTGTACCTCCCTTGTTCATCCCCAAACCCTTAAGGGCAAGGCATATCAGAAGAGTGACTTGTACTGTGATCAGTGTCCAGCTCATTCTGGCAAAGAGGCAGCTGCTGAGACTCAAATTCTTCCTTCCAATCCCAAAGGATGGGATGTAAAACTCCATGTAAAACTCCTAAACTGTCTTTAAATGAATTTGCATACACACCACATTAACATCAATCATTTAGTAATCTTTGATGGATTCCAGAGTCTTGACCAGATCACCCACAATAACTAAAAAAAAAATTTAAAACTTACCCAGCCATCACTACATTATAAATGTAGTTGGATCCAGCACAGTTTACAGCATTTTACAACAATTACCATTTTAAGCAGAGAATAATCCCAAAGAGACTGTTATTTCTGAAGACAGTAATTACATTACACAATAATTATGTGCAGACAGAACAAGAAATAAGTGTTTATTCCTTCCACCCTGCAAGCTGCACACATATTTCTCTTTTCTTTGAGATATGAATGATAAGTCATGGCACAGTTCAGCCTTCTCTTTTATTAACAATATTAACTGCTGTGTCCCATTTGTCTGCTTTTAGTTAAAAAGAAAATAACCAACAGAAAGAGCCTGTGCTTTTACATGCAAAACCCTTTACTTGCTTCACATCCACGTCTTCCTGTTGTTTATGTTCTCCATATTTGCTTCTTATCTGATTATAAATTCTGTAGAAGAAAAAAAACCAACATTATTTTTAAGCAGTATGTATGCTTAAAAAAAAAGTTATTTCTGTTCAGCTCTCTCCAGAGATTTGGGAAAATATAGCTTCTCTCATTGTACAGTATTATTCTGTGTCACTGGTTGCAGATAATCCCTTCTGAATAAGCACAGGGATGCAGAGAACAAATCGGACAAGCATGCCTTTCAAATAGTGCCCCTTTAATCTCTTTAAATGAAAGATTTTCAGACCAGAAAATGCTATGCGATACCTCTATGCTAAAGGATGTAATAACTTAAATAACATTTTTCTTCACAAACAATCTAGACTACTATAGTTCCCCAGGATTGAAAAATGAGTCACTGATCGTTGGATGCGAGAAGTATAAAAAAATTCAAGTTTGCTCTTCCCAGGTATACTGAGGAACAAACCATGCTAAAGGACACAATGATCTGATGGTCTTTCAATTCTGCCGGCTTATCCCTATTTATCCCCTTTAATTTTAAGTTAATTAAAATAGTGTTTTCATATTCTGATTCTTGTTGGCAATGTATCTGTTTGCACAGATAGTGTAAGTAATATCTTCTTCATTTGCGTAAGGAGAAGTAACTTTTTAAAGAAGTGACTATTTTAAAGAAGCAACTTTTCAAAAAAGTCATGATTATGGATATCCATGAACAATACTGCCTCCCTGCCTGTAACATGCAACACTGAAAGATCTGCTCTTTCAGTATCACACTTTCAGCTACAGCTGTTCCAAATGGATCAGGTGGCTACCACAGTTAAAAAGATGAACTGAAGTTGAAGTGCATAGAGGGAGGAAAAGACAATAGAGTGTCAGCGAAGACAGCACTGCCAGCGGAAGGGCCCGCTGGCAGCAAGCAGAGCCCCGCAGGCAGGATTCCGTAGAGGACTCTGAGGCCCAGATGTTCTGAGGCAGAAGAGCAGATGGCAGGCAGACCGTCGAGGTCAAACCCGTTAGATGTAGGCAGTAGAGAGGAGCACAAGGCAATGCTTTGGACTCAGGGACAGCACAAGAGAGGGCCCTTAGCAGGAAGTGTGCAGAAGGACGGAAAAAAGACGAGAGAGAAAAAGGCGCGAGATGCGCAGGCGACGCATGGGGAGCTCCGAAGGACAACCTGCGGCGCAGCGGGATGCCTTCCCATGGAAAAGCCCAGTCGCGATTCGCCTCCGGACGGCACCAAGCTCGGCACGGCTCCGCTCCCGTCCCTCGGGCCGTGCCGGGCCGTGCCCGTCTCCATGGCGCCGCCTCGCTCACGGGCAGCGCCCGTCCCCGCCCGCCTCCCTTCGTGTTTCTCAGTCCCTCGCCTTGCAGTCACTTCCAGGAACCCGGCAGCGTATTCTCCCCTCCTCGCCTTCTCGCCGTTCCGTCCTCAGTGCTCTCACACAGCAGCCTCTTCTCTGCACGGCTCCTTGGCAGACCCCCTTCTCCCAAAACACAGATAGTACTTGTCCCATACTCTCAGATCTCACGCTCTCGTTCACTTGTCTTCCTGTACAATTTGTTTCTGCAAATGTTTATTATTAATTTCTCCTTAGCGCAGATCAGGAAGGAGACTCTTTGCCCCTTTCAAGTACAGCCGTTAACGGATGTAAACAAACTTTGAGAGTCCTCTCTGAACTCCCACTGCATCGTGAAAACTTTTAAAAGCTTGTAAAACAAACTCAGGCCAACTGCAACATGAGGTCATGCAGAACAGATAAACACATTCTGCTACCAAGGCATTTAATTATTAAAAACTGTATCCATCATCTAAACTGCTTTACGCTGTCTAGGGGAGACTGAGGAAGATGTAATACATGCAGCAGGCCAAAAGCATGATTTTCCCTTAGTCACTCTAGATGACTTGCTTGTCTGGAAGTCATGAGGCAAACTTCCTGTAATGTTCTGTCACTCTTCTGTTTTTCTAGATCATATAAAGAGCTTTTGCCTTCCAGAAACTCAAATGCTGCACCCAAATGATATCTCAAGTACACTAATTTAGAGAAGATAGAGCATTATCCATAGTTCTTATATAATTTTCCTTATGTCATCAGAAGAGAATTGTGTGTCCTAGCCCCATGCCAGTTAAAGAAAGAAGGGGTTTGTTTTCATCAGTAACTATTAATGAAAATTACAATCAGAACTAGCAATTTGACTTTTGAAATAAAGCAAGTTCCATTTAGCGAATTGTAGTTACAGAATGCTGCAATTATTCAAGGGATTTAGTTCATTTACTTATATGAATCACCTCTGGTTTAAAATAGAATGGTGAAACCTGGCTTAAAATGATTTTCTATATCTGAACACACAAAAATTATAGTGCAAGTCCCAGCATAATTTATATTGTGCAGAGCCAATATAATCAGAGCCAACGCATCAGAATCAGCACATAATAGGCGAATATCTAAAGCCATACACCATTCTGACTGCTGGCATTCTTCACACCTTTGTATTAGCCCTGGCCTAACCTATCAACCACATTATCTTTTCAACCCTTCCTCACCCCTGCCCCCACTTTCAAATTAGCTGTCATCTTCTCCAATGTACCTTCAATCATACCCTAGTCACGTAGTTAAATGCATGTTAGTTCCCTAAATGAGTAATTGATAACTTCTAGTGATTCAGTAGTGTCCCAAAGAGACAAACTTTAATGGTGAGTAATAAAGATTACAGTCTACACAATGTCAGTTCGGGGATTGATGCTGAAATCTTAATACAACTAGTCCGCAACTGAATGCCCTAAATTCAGATAATAGTGGACAGTCAAAAACTGGTTTTACTAGTCTTTAAGATTAGCAGTGTCGGTCTTATTGGCTGTATGTTATCTACTCAAAATAAACCGCATGGCCTTGCTCATCTTCACACATTGATGCAATGAATCATCCTTGAGCATGTACAAATGGTTACTATACTTCAGCAAAACTGAACCAAGAGCCAATGCAAACACAATGTACAAGGAAAAGAAAAAAACTTCTAAGTCATTAAAAGAGCTTCAGTTCCTGCCTTGGCATTACATTTCAGCAAGTAGGTTTTAAATTGGAAGCTACTACTCTGTGCAATATCACAGTTCTCAAAAGACAATATTGTATCCTACCTGTGCTCTCCTACTTAGAATCCTACTCCTGTGTAACTCCACATAGATAGGAATCACAGAATCATTTAGAATTTTTTTTTTCCAAGATCATTGAATCCAGTTGTTAACATCCAGGGATGGTGACTCCATCACTTCCCTGGACTTGCCATTTCAATGCTTGGCAACCTGTTTGGAGAAGAGATTTTTCCCAATAACCAATCTAAAGCTCCCCTGGCACAACTTGAGGCCACTTCCTCTTGTTCTATCACTTGTTACCCGGGACAAGAGACAGATGCCCACCTTGGTACAATCTCCATTCAGGCAGTTGTAGAGAGTGATAAGGTCCCCTGAGCCTCCTTTTCTGCAGGCTGAGTCTCTCCAGCTCCCTCAGCCACTGTCCATCACACTTGTGCTCTAGACCCTTCCGTAGCTCTGTGCCCTTCTCTGGCCATGTTCTAGCCCCTCAATGTTTGTCTTGTCATGAGGAGCTGAAAACCAAATACTGGATTTAAGGTGTGATGTCACTCCCCTGTATATTAGATTGTGTGCTAGAAGCACACAAAAGAATGGAGCACCTACTCCTGAATTTCTTAAGCCTCAGCTAGACAGGAGTGCTACTTTCTGTAGTGCATTTAAGAATCCCACCACAACTTTCATAGATGTTACATAGCAATATCAGCACATCAGTTTTATAATCCAACGTTTGTATGAATCCCAGTTGAGTCACAAGAGATTAATGCAGAAAGCTCATTCCATCCGGATGTAAAAGGAGAAGCATGCTATGAAATCATATTTGCAGGGAGTAGTATAATATTTACTCCCTTGGTAAAGTATGAGGAGGGAAGCCTGAGGGTTATCTACAACTCCATTGTGCATTCTGTCTACAGAATGCACAATATCACATTTAAATTTCTAAGAAGAAAACAACTAAGCAAGGAAGCTCGTAAGAGTAATTCTCATGGGAGGAGACAATGACGAAACTGTGATCTCTCCCGGAAAAGCAGAAACGGCAGCACAGAACAAACCTCAGCCGCAGAAACCCATTCATAAGTTGAAGTCCACTGCTCAGGTCCTGTTCCTCCGGACAGCCAGCGCAGCACTCATGCCGGCAGGATGCAGCCCTGCGTTGCACTCTACGCAAGCAGCGCAAAGCTCATGCCGATGTCTTGTGAGGCCCTGGGGCTGCACGCTGCACGGCCCTGCGCCCGAGAGCCTGTGGCGGAGGGAGGGAGGGAGGGAGGAGCAGCCGCGGAGCCGCCGCGCGGGAGCGCTCCCCGGCCGGCGGGACCAGACGGGCTGTGGCGGCTCTGCGGGCACACGGGGCCAGCGGGCGGCGGCCAGCACGGGCATCCTCAGCCGAGACGCGGGACGTGACTCAGGTACCGAGGCGGGGCCGTCGTGCGTGATGTGCGGAGTCCTTGCCTTGCACGCGGACGAACGGCGTGGGGAGGGCGGTGTGGGGGGTCCGGAGCCGGGTGAGCCGAATGCAGAGCGCCGGGCTGACCGAGGATGCTGCTCTGCGTGGGGCTCTCCGGGCCAGCGGATGAGCCCGAGCGCCGCCCAGGCTTTGGGCAAAGCGCGGCGTAGGAGTCGCGGGTTCATCCCTTGCCCAGAGGTTGCGCTGGGCACCGGTGGGATCGTGGGCACGACGCCGGCTGTTCTCGCAGCCCTTGGCACCACCCCACGAGGGTCGGCGGGATGCCGTCCCGCCGGCTGCGTTTCTTCTCGCTCGTGGGGCCACGCGGGCGCACCTCTTCGTCGGGAAGCCCTCGTTGCCTCTGGGTCGCCCAACGATCTCAGCGCCCCCGGCCTGAAAGCGCTGTCCGAGCGCTGAGCGGTGCTGGCCACCGAGCCCCACTCCGCTTGCTACGAGAGCGCTGCCCCCGACATCCCTTGTGGCAGCCGGGTCACGCCTAGGCGCGCAGTGCCACCCGCCCGAGGGCACGTACAGTGCCACACCGCTGGCTCGTGGGACACCCGCGAGCTCGGGCTTTGTTTCCGCCATTCGTGGCCTCACATCGTTATTGGCGGACGAGGGTCCCTTCGCTACTGCTCACCTCCTGTTTCAGTGTCGAGCTCCCGGAGGTGAATTTCGGAATTTTTTGTCTTAGCGGTGACGGTTCAGGTCCGTCAGAATGAGCGACGAAAGTCTGAGGGACTGTTCCCTCATAAGGACATGGTCGCAGATCCGGGCAGGATCCCCGGTACTCGGTTTAGCAAGCACACGAAGAGCGCTGGGGCGGCCGGGTTGCCTCTCCCCGGGCTGCGTGAGCATCGGCTGCGGCGGCGGCTCCTCAGGAGCCGTCTGGGCTGAGCGCTACGTGCCCGCCCCGGAGCGCCCCGCGAGCCGTCGTGGCCGTGGCGACGCCGCGACCGCCACCATTGTGTTCCCAAGCCCTGTCCCCCCACAGCCCCTCCCGCGCGGCCGCCGCAGCCCCTCTCCATCTCCTGGGAAAGAGCCTTTTTTCGACGCTGCTCGCAATCCACCTGGAGGGTTCTGCGGCTTGCCTTCTAAGAAATTCTGTGGAGAGAAGAAAAAGCACAAAAAGGTGGAGTTGAATTTCAGTAATTCAGCTTCCTCACAGGCGCAGACCGTTAGCACTAGTGGAAATGCACTCCGCTTGGGCAAACCGTTCAATTTAGGATGCCACAAAGTAAAGTCATGTAGGTTTTGCAGTGTTTATTTCAGAGGAAGTAGTGTGGCAGCCGTTTTAAAATGTAAATCAGGTTCTCTTAGTACAGTGCACCTTTTGTGGTTCAGTCAGAAGTATAACTCAAGGTATATTATAGAAATAAAAAAATATAATTTTTAAAATTGTGACTGAAGTGGCAATTCACATTCTCAATGTGTGACACCCTATTATGCAGCTACACTGTCCAGAGTGGTTGTGTAAAATGGCACCTCTGAGCCAGATGATAATTTCTCACTATATTCAGCTACATGTGCTCACCTACTTCAGATACAGTGCATGTGCATGTGAGCACTTTAGATATTAGGGTAGTTCCATTATAGTCTGCAAAAATAAGCAGAGATGCCCAGCTGGTGACAGGACTAGACCCTTAATTAGTATTTATCTATCTCTGTCACTTTTTGGTTTTATACTAAACGATATAAGGACACTTCTTCACTATAAGCAATTGTCAAGCATTCATGTTTTTCTGACGCTTCAACACATTGCAAGGCCATCACAGCTGCAGGGCTCGGGCTTTGTAAGTTGTTTCTAACTGAAGCTGGGATTCTACAACTTTTAATGATATAAAATAAAACAAGCAAATAAATAGTCACAACTTTCCCTATAGAGCACTTTACCCAGATAACAGACTTTAGACTGGTTATCATTATCTGCTACACATAAAATTGCAGTGTGAATTTACTGTCACTGTGGCCTGCTAATAACTTGTGATGAATGTTACTCACTGTGCAGCAGCAGTGAACAGCTAAGATGTTTTGAGACTAAATGGGGACTGGAGAATGTTTAATAGTCAAGATTTGGTGGAGCATCACTTGCAGCTACAGACAGCACAGAATTATCCCAGGAGTTCTAAAAGGGAGATGAGAGAATGGGGAAAACTGGCAAACACTTAAGAAAGGTAGCAGATCTGGAAAAATTGTCTCATTTGAAATGGAAGAGGCCAAAATGGGATAGTGGCAGTCACTGCAAGACCTTGCAGGAGGACAGGAGGTCAGGATAGGATTGATAAATATGGTAATGATTTTGTAGGGAACATAATTTTGCAGCAGCCTTTGGAATGAACGTATAATTCAACTGGCTAATATTTAAGCAGGTAAGCCACAGGAAATGCACTAGTGGGTTATACCAGTGGCCCATCTAAATGGCTTCTATGAGGTACCTGAGTTGTAATAAAATCTGATTTAAAGATTTATGCATTTGTACTTTAGAGAAGCAGGAAGGAGTTAAAGTCATGCTGAATAGGCATATGTCAGTGATGTCAATGCAAAGGCTAGTTGTTCTGTATGTAGAGGGTTATCATCAGCGTCTGGAGAATATTAAAATAAAAACATTTTTTCAGGAATCATTTCCTGAAAAATTTCAGTAGAGTTGGTTAGTCTTAGGTATCCTCACTTAAAAACAAGAATAACACGCATATTTTGTTTAGTCTGCTTAGATTTTAGTACCTTTGGGCAAATACAGGAGGTTTATAACTCCTATTAACACAGCATTAAGCAACCTATGATTTCAAGGTATCCATACACCCAATACCCTGTGAAGAGAGAAATTATTTTCTTTGTTTCACAGATAAGAAAAACTGAAGTAGAATGTCTACATTACTCAGCTTATACCTCCTTCCTTATTTTGTAGTTATACATTTCTCAGTTGGGTGTGGCTCCCTAGACTGAAGTCTAGGCTGAGCTGGGTTCCCTGCTTGGAAGTTTATGTTCTATTTTTGATAACCATTTTTTATTTGTATCATAGAATTCAAGATTGTGTAGATTGCAGCCATAGTTAGAAGAAATTAATTACTCTTGAAAATATCCTGAAATTTCTCCTTCTTGACAACATGAAGTTCTCAAGCTATATAGGTCTGTGTACATGCTCATAAATGTCCTTCCTACCCATACTGCTGACAATGAAGTACAGCTATGCTGCCAATAAGAGTAGTGGCTAAACATAAATAATAGATTCTTGCCATTTCTAGCTGCTCCTTTCCATAATACATCATTCCAGAAACCACACCATCACAACACCCACAATGCTACCTAATATTTCCTCCTGAGTCTATATTAGTTTCCATGACAACAAGAAGATACTAACAGGAAGATGAAACCCCAGATGCTACCTTTGTTTTGCACATTACCAAAGCAAGAACCCATTCATGACAGAAGGAATCTGGAATAAATACTGACAATATTTATTCATTTCTGTTGTGGAGGTATGAAACTGATCTGCAGCCAGTTAAGTATAATCCTTTGCCTCAAAAAGGGGCTGAGCTAGCAAAAGCAGAAAGCAAAACAAGCTGTTGCATTAGTTAGGCAGTAGCCTCCTGTCTTAGCAGGCTTTCATGGCATTCCAGCACTGGAGCAAAATCCTGAGTAAAAATTTTGCCAGTGCAGATCAAACACAAGCCTGCCTTTTCTAAAGTGGTACCCCTAATTTATACATTTTGGAAAGGAACCTCTGCACTGCTTCCTTATTATTTCTTATTCACCTCTTAAGTAGGTGAATACAGTCTCAGCCTAGTAAGGTACACCACAACAGGATGAAGTACATTCTTGTGTTTATGGAGACAGGGTTCATTTAGTTCCAGTTAATGGTCTTTTTCTTTTGATGTGTTAACATGAACAACCAATGGACAAAACCAGATTAATAACACTGATTGTACAATCATACAGTGGTTTGGGTTGCAAGAAACCTTAATCTCGTTCCAACCTGCTGCCATGGGCACAAACACCTTCCATCAGGCCACGTTGCTCCCAGCCCTGTCCAGCCTGGCCTGGAACTCTTCCAGGGATGAAACAGCCTTGTGGCTCGGCAACCTTTGCCAGGGCCTCATCACCTTCACCCTAAAGAATTTCTTCCTAATACCTAATCTAAACCTACTGTCAGTTTGAAGCCATTCCCCTTGTTCTGTCACTACATGCCCTTGTAACAAGTCCCTCTCCAGTCTTCTTGTAGCCACTTCAGGCACTGTAAATGTGCAATAAGGCTTTCCCAGAGCATCCTCTTCTGCATGCTGAACCAGCCGAATCCTCTCAGCCTTTCCCTTTAGAAGAGCTGTTTTTGAGGCATGTGTGTGCAAATGTGAACCACTCTTGAAAGGATGGCACTTGAAGATCTGGTGTGCCGGTTTATGGTGATTTTTAGCCGATTTCTTCCATGATGTAAAGAAGAGTAAATGGATATTACTGTGAGTTTCCCTGTAGACATATTTTTATGAAAGGCCACGTTCCTTCACATCAGCAAGTCTAGCTCTTTCATCACAGCAAAACATAAAACCGTTTAAAGACTGCTCCTCATGGCAAAGATGGTGAGTTCCGTAAGGCAGGTGCAACGGAACGTGTCTCTTACAGGCTGACTTGCTCTGCTGGGCATGGGAGAGCTCAAGAACGGCCAGGAAGGAGGATATTTCCCTCTCCGGTGGGAGCCCCGGGCTCCGGCAGCGGCGGCGGCGGGCGCTGGGCGGGGGCACGGCCCCGGCTCCGCCCCGGCCCGGCAGTCACGTCCCGCACGTCTCGGTGCGGCGGCTCCGCAGCCTCTGCCCGGGGCTCGCAGTG